AAGTACATGAATATGGAGGAGACTGAGGCAGATTTCCAAGCACACGATCGAGCTCGGGGAAAGAAGCAAGAGGAAAAACATAAGCCAGATGATAAAAGGTCAGTTGGGAAGGATTATAGGGGTGACGATAGGGGACGCTTGGGTTTCAAGTACGAACATTACACACCACTGACGTCACCAAGGGGGCAGGTGTATGAGATGTTGGAGAGGCGGGGGGAGGCTAAAATGCTCGGAAAGCCTTAGCCCTTACCCAAGAAGATTGGGAAGGTGCCGGTGAGGGGAGATCCTTCCTGTAGATATCATCGCGACTATGGGCATTGGACCAATAACCGTAAGGAACTCAAAGACGAGATTGAAAGATTGATAAGAGCTGGACACTTGAAGGAGTTTGTGGTGCAAGAGCGAGGGAAGAAGGAGGATACAGAGGGGGTTGATCGAAAGAGAAAGCCAGAGGAGCTGGGAGAGAGAGCTCCGAAAAGGGGTGTGATCCACATGATAGCAGGAGGACCAACGGATGGGGATTCCAATGCGGCAAGGAAGGCTAATTTAAGGGCCGATTGGGAGAATGTCGTGGAGGTTCAGATCGTTCATCCTGTACCGGAGTTGACCTTTGGAGCAAAAGATTCTCATGGGATTTTGGCACCCCATAATGATGCATTAGTGGTGACAGCGGAGATAGCGAACTATGACGTTGAAAGGATATTGGTCGATACTGGGAGCTCGGCGGATATTATGTTTTATGAGTGTTTCAGGAAAATGGATCTGGGGATGGAAATCACTCCAATTAGGACTTCGTTGTTCGGGTTTAGTGGCACCGAAGTAGTGCCATTGGGAGAGGTACAGCTAAACATGGCCTTAGGAACTCCTCCCCTGAGGAAGGTGAAAGCGGTTCGTTTTGTGATTGTTAAAGCAGACTCGGCTTACAATGTCATCCTAGGAAGACCCAGCTTAAACTCTTTCCAAGCGGCAGTTTCCACATACTGCATGAAAATGAAGTTCCCGGTGGGCGATCTCGTTGGTGAAGTGGCAGGAGATCAAAGGGTGGCAAGGAGCTGTTATCAGACAGTGTTGAAGGCGGGTCACAAGAGGAAGAGCGTGGAGGTTGACTCAAGCAGAGTCAAGGGGGAAAACTCGAGCAGGGGCAAAGAGGCAAGGATGGAGGTGATCCCGCAGGATGAACTGATGGAGATTGCCCTTGTGGAGGGAGAATGCGGGAAGTTGACGAGAGTTGGT